AGTCGAACATCGGGGTTTAGGGTTTAGGGTTTGGGGTTTAGGGTTTGGGGTTTAGGGTTTGGGGTTTAGGGTTTAAGGTTTAGGGTTTCAGGTTTAGGGTTTAGGGTTTAAGGTTTAGGGTTTCGGGTGCGATTCATATCCAACTCAACTCAAATTTATGCTATAACGGTGCTATACTTTACTAACCATACTGTGCTATGCCTCAATATGCGTTACTATACGATACGATGCGCTGCTGTACGATGCTATACTATTGCTATACTATACTACCCTATACTGCCTGTACTAGACCATCCTACGCTTTACTACTGCCATGCCGTGCCATGCCGTGCCGTGCCATGCCATGCTATCTAATCCAATGAGAAGCCGGGGGTCCAAATTTCAGGGGCCACGATGTTCAGAGCACCGGCAACCAGAAGCGCCTCCGAAAACTCTGGGGTCGCCGAGTCCCACATCAGGATGGCCTGGATGGAAGGCAAGGGCTACGGGACTCCTGCGCCTCCTCGGCAAAAGATTCAAATGCTATGGGTCGCACGGACGGTTTTTCTTCTTGAGCACACACATCCATGTCGAGACATTCTTGCTACGAGCCGCGGCTTAGAACTACAGTTGACTTGGGCCTACTAGGGAACAACACGACCTGCTACGTCTACGTCCCACACGAGGGACTGTGTGTCCAGGTCGGTAGGTCAGGCAGGCAAGCAGGCAGGTAGGTGTATGTTTGCTGTGGGGGTGGGTGCACGTGCATGCGTCAGTATTGCCCGAGCTTTTGACAAAGGCGCAAATCCGGCGAAGCAATGAAGAAAGCGCGGAGGCAACGCATCATCAACATGCAAATGTTCGGGCTTCAGCTGTCCTGCGGGCTGAAATGCAAGAAGTCGATAGACATCATGAGCTCCACACCCTGCTTGTACTCCTAAGTCTTCCACGCCAGCTCCATCAAACATCAAAGCTTTACTAGACACCACAGTCTGTGACAGCATGATACTGAAAATGCCAAACATTCAAAATGCAAGCAAGGGTCTGCACAAACCACGAAGACATCAGGACCTGAGCTGCCAGACGGTCATAGACAGAACATGTCAAATCTTCAAGCAGATTCTGCACCAATGAGGGAAACGTACTTGATGTTCTGTGAGACTTCGCTTTGGCCTCTTTCTTGCAACGGATCTGGTATCTACTACACACGTATAACATATACAGATACGTCGGAGCACTTTGCTGAACTTTCCCTATGTGATCTCTTCCCTCATGCCCCTTACTTTCCTGCTGCTTTCCTTCGCGGTGCTTTCGGAAAAGCATGTGCATCTCCCCACGAGGGTTCCTTCCTTGCTGGTTTCTGTTTGGGGTTTAGGGTTTTGGCAGTTTGGGCTGCCTCATTCCTTCCTGCCTTCCAACCTTCCTCGGGCCTCGAGAACGTAAGAAATCGAGTTGGCAGAACCCAATGCAGCAGGCATCGAGGGTTTTTGCAGAAAACCACGTCACGTTACAAAAGCAACATGACTTCCTACGGCTGCAGCAGCCACAGCAGCAACAACAACAACAACACCCTGGCAAAGTCTCCAAGCAAAGCTGCGGACCTTCTGCTGCCAGTAGCCTCACAAGCGTGGACAAATCGCTGCAAGGTATGTCGTGAGGATGACAATATTAGAATGTCTCGGTTGCCACAGCGGCCTCATGTCCTCGATGACGTTGTCAATGGCAGAGCTGCCTTGACTCATAGGGTTTAGGGCTCAGGGTCCTGGGTTCAAGGTCTTTGGGTTCAAGGTTGGTCTGGTTGGAGAAAAAATACATATATATATATATATAGAGAGAGAGAGAGATTTGAGCTGTTTGTATGCGTGTGTATATATATATATACATATATGTATCGGCTTACTGGGACACAGCCTCCGGCAAGATAAGAATCGCGTCAACACTCACTGCCCCTGGTGCTACTATGACTTTGCTGTGCACGGCAACCAGTACAACCATCGTAAGCATCTTCATTCATCGACCAAAAGTTCATGCAGATGCTTGTTGGCATCTTCAAGATGTGGCAGGAGACTTCGTGGATGTGCGGATGCGGGGTCGGCTGCAGAGGCAAGTTGCTCAAGGTGTACACTGTGTGGGGCTTGCTACAGGGATGAGGTTTTGGCAAACATGCTTGCTGCTACCCCATGAAGAACGAACACAGCAAGATGTGTTGCCGTCATGTCTTTGTATGGGTAGGTATTCGAATGTTTAGAATGTGCTGCGGATATTGAATCGGCGAGGATCTCACGACAGGAGCTGTTATCAAACAAATGCTGCCGCAGGAACGATGTCGATACACCAAGGTCATCCCCATGGCGGTGGCTGCACTGGCCTTGGCGGAATTCTTAGAGAGCCCTTTATGCGAAATCCCAGAAAGTCTTAGCCATGAACAGCGCCCTGGCACATTGCCGCAAGGTATGGCTCAGCGCTTTCCCAAATCGCCACCGTCTTGGCTCCTGCAAAAGTCGGTCCGGTTCCGGCATTCTGATAAGGGCCACCTTCCTTGCGCCTCGTGCATGGAGGGTTTGGAGCGGACGTCTCATGAAAAGCTCTGGCGGGACTTCCTCGGAGTTTCTCATGTCTCAAACAATAAGGAAGGTCGGATCGTGCAAGAATCGCCCGCTGCAGCAGGGCTACCAAGGAGTTGATCAGAGTGCGTCCGTGTCCTTGAGTGCGTTGCTTCTCCTGGGCTTCAGCTGGAGAAGACGAGTACCAAGGTGAAAAAAGAGTGCGAGCTCATTTTCCCTGGCATAAAACAGCGAGTGCTGTCTGCTACCGACTCTCCGCGCTGTGCCTAACGTAGAGTTTGCAGTGGCAGCAACTGGCCAAGGCAGCATATGTAACGTTGCAACCAAGTATCAGGAAGCGAAACGAAAGGAAGGAGGATCGGAACACTATGGGAAGAGGTGAGATTCGCCGCGACCTGGCAGGACGACATTATCGTAGCCGCAGTGTTGCAGCTGTTGCCGAGTGCTACTGCTGGACACACACACACACAGAGACCACTTCAGCCTCCGAAAGCTCGCGGGAGATCGGCCCTATGAAGACTCGCAAGTTGTAGCCTGGCATCTGAGAAAGGCCCGTGAGAGCTCGCATGGCACCAGCACTGTCCTCCGTCTGGACCAACTGGTGCATGCGCATCCTCGTTGTGCAAAACTGAGACGGATCATGCACCAAGGAGCCGATATCTACATGTCCTGCAGCATGTCTGCGTACTGTCCTCAGACTTCCCACTCACAACGAATCACTGATGTCGAACCCACCGTCAACGGGACAAATCTTAGGAAGATGCGGCGAACTTCTTCCGCCGAACCGGCATCATCCCGAATGTCCAGGTTGATGCCTTCCTAGGCACACGAGCACAAGGTGCTGTCGCGAGGAATCTTCCCCGCCAAGAGCAGCTGAGCTTCGATGATTCCTCGCGGAAGCAGATCCAAGATTAGTTGCAAGCCTGCAGCAGGTTGAAGCCTCGTTGGACTGGATGCAACAAAGACTTCCCGTTTGCCTTGTAGGGCTTCTCGGGAGTCAGTAGGGTCTGCTCCAGTTAAGCTCAACGTGCCGGAGACGGTGATGTTAAATGCTGGCACCTGTACCGAAAGACGGCATCAGCCTCGAGTAAACTGCAACAGCCCGTCGCAGTTGTGCCTGGGCAAGTACTGCCAAAATAATCGCCAATCGCCACACGAATCCGCTGAAGCCATGCATGAGATCAACGAAGGGCCAACAATCGTTGCATGAGCGAGGTCTACGGCAAGTCGTATTCTAGCACACCTGACGATTACACTACACCCCTCTTTATGGTAGAGAAGGGCTCTAGTTGCTAAAGCATGAGAAGGGCTTGCACTTCTTGTCTTTGCACTACTTTATCACACGAATTCCTTGAGGAACATGAAGCATCATGTCAATGTGCAAAGAGGTACCGGAGATTGACCGCTCGCTGACATCTCTGCTTCTGTGCACTTCTATCCATGGCTTTTCAATACGGCCAAGGAGTCATCCTGGCGTAGGCATGCGACGGCCGCAAAGGCAATGTGAATTCTGACTCCCCGCCAATTAAGGACTTGAAGAATGCATGCAACGAACAAAGCTGGAAAACGAAACTCTGCGCCAGCTTTGTTAAATGAGTGGTCATCACTGATCACGGAATCACCGAGTCTTTGACTTGTCGAGCCACCAGAAACCCGTACGGGAGCGGTTGCCGTGCTGATAAGTTGACGTCGGTTTGCCGAGCCTGAATTTTCCCGCTTCCATGTACATAGCACTGCAGCTCTGCTGCTCTTCGCCAAAGTGTGCCTCTAAATCTTTGCCACTTGTAGGGCTGGCACTGCTGCTGGAAGTGTCAGAACCATCCAAACCATCCTCATCCTCGTACTCCTCGCAAGAGACGGGCCCGAAGGTGGGACGAAGGTCAGTGCTGCTACCCGTGAAGAGGAGCCGAATGGGAGGTAGCAACATATCGGTACGCTCTGTCGTCCCCTCACCACCGAAAGACGGAACAGCCGGATCTGTCCCATCTGCTTCACTTGTTCGAGAACCATTGCTCAGCTCCCCTATGGAGGGCAAACGGAGCGACACCGGTGCCGCAGCCTCGTCGCTTGCACTTTGCTCTTCGGAAGTCGTGGGCGACGGCGACGCCGTGGGCGACGGCGACGCCGTGGGCGACGCCGTGGGCGAGGGCGAGGGCTGAGGCGAGGAGCGCTTCGGCAAAGGTAGGCGAAATCGGCCCAAGCCCAGCGGCCGAGATGTCCGAGCCTTCGGTTTCGTCACCGCTATCTCGGAAGGCCCGGCTGGGCCGTGATGGTCGGAGTCTGCACTCAAAGGCGCAAGGCTGGACCTTCTTCCCGTTCCGTTGCCCACACCCTCTCGGGGTTCTGGGCTCAAGGGAGGAGTTGAAACCGCAGCTTCCTGTTGCTGTTCAGATCTGTCGTCAGGCCCATGCACTGCAGACACCTGGGCGCAATCAGCTTCTGTCAACCGACAAAGATTCAAGCAACGCAAGAACACGAAAAAGATCTGAACGGTCCGAGCTGCGAGTGACGCAGAGCTCGTCCGTCTTGACTCGTCATGGAAGCTGTGCGGATCTTGCGGCTGGCAGTCCGAGTCTAGACTTTCGCTGTTCATGGCAGTGCCAGTGGCCGAACTTCGGCGGCTTAAGCTATGAATGCTGGCTCCTTCATCTGTTGTCGACTGATGATCTGCCAGCTCGGCCGATCTGCATGCTTCCACCGCCATGCCGCTTGAGTCAGTCGACAATCGGCAACCAGAAGTGTCCCAAACCTCCCCATCTGTCGCTGGTCGGGTTCGTTTTGGCCTCCGACCAGATTCGGTTGGAAAGATGCTCTGAGGGCTATCTAGCGACGAAGCTTTTTGCTGAAGTCCTCTCACCCCCATCTTGGCAATCACAGACAAACTTCGCAAAGTTATGGAACGAAGCCTGCACTCCGCCGGAGCCACAGACTTGCGATCATCGCGCTCCCGCTTCAGGTCCTGCTTCACCCGGGAAGTTTCCTGCATTCGGTCCTCCACGAGCTTCTCAAAGCGTTCACGTTCCTTCGGATAGGCCAGCAGTAGCCGCTGGAAGCTGTGTTGATTGACACTACGGCAGTCGCATGTGTCCAGCGCTCGGACTGTACATGTGCGCTTGCGATTTCCGAACAAGGCCATCTCACCAAAAACTTGGCCGCTCTCCAACACGCCAACCACTTTCTCACCAAGGATGACTTCCACTGAACCCCAGTTAAGAAAATACATCCTGTCCCCGTCGTCGCCTGCTTTGATAATTTCCTGCTCTGGCAGGAATAAATCGACCTCCAGAAGCGTGGACAACTCCTGCAAAAACTTCTCCGAGCTCTGGCTGAAAAACTCAGACCTTGCAAGCATGCATTGGTTTTTGATCACCGACTTCGACTTCTTCAGATCAATGGAAGTCTTGCGATGCCTTAGTGACGGCATGAGGAGTTCCCTCTGCTACCGTCTCCATCCTGCCAACCTGCTCATTGTCGTCAGTGCTTGAGCCAGTGCAGGGTGACCGCAGCAGGTGCCGTCAGTCTCTAGTTGACACATGGCCGTGCCGAGTCATGCTGAATTGCGAAGGCAAGCGCAGCACTCGACTTTTTGTGATGACCAATCACGGTCCGTCGCCTGTTGCTAATTGCTTGTGGCGGCACCTGCCATATTTCAGGCAGGGAACTGAATCAATTCCATCGAAGGGGAAGTCGCTGCCGACATGTGAGACATGCCAATATCTGCAGGCTACAAGAAGAAACGTACGTGCTGTCCCTACTCAGGGCTTGATCCGGCCATGTTTGTTACGCTGCAACCCCTGCGTTCCCAAACAATCAAGTAGGCGCCTCCGGCTATGGCCGGTGCACAGTTGCACCAACATGAGATCGCACCAAATCATCGCGTGCGTTCAATCCGCGCCAAGGCTCTGAAGAATTTCATGTTGAACGCAGTTTTGAAGTCTTCCATCGTCGGAGGTCATGCTCTCACCACGGCTCTGTTGGCAATTGGCGGTTTCGGCAAGTTGAGTTTGGGATTGTCAGTTGGCCTTGTCGCTCTCCCGCCGCAGTCCCAACGTTTCCACCTCCAGAAATCGTGTTCCCGTCACCTTCATGCGAATGTTATCTTCGCAAATCGTGCTCCTTCCGCAGTGCGGTGCGCAGTGTTCGGAGCGCAAGTCGTTCTGCCGCCACAGTGCCGCTCACCTATTCAATCTTTCAACTCGTTCAAAGAGGGTGGTCTTTCAGTCAGTGGGTCTGTTTTCCAAATCGTCCTGCAACGTCATCTCACGAGGCGGTCTGGGAACCCTGGAGGGGTTCTCCCAACAGACTAGTTTTGGGTGTGTCGGACTTGGACCACTATGTAGTTTAAGGTCTATGGCTATGGCGGCAGAATTTATAGGATGCGGACAGCAAGGCAGCTGGGGCAGAGGCATCTGTTGGCTCTTGCGTTCAAAAATATCAGTGGCACCTAAGCGAGCTGTTGACTTCAATCTAATTGCAAAAGCTTCAAGGATCTTGAAGGTGAAGTGTCGGGCCTCCCTTCTCAAACTGCTTATTGAGTCGGTGGGAGAGCTAAGACCACGGCGACCTCATCGGAAGCCCACTGCTGCCTGGCAGCACCAAGATGTAAGGCCCTAGCTATGGCTACGACTACAAGAAAAAAGTAGGAAGGCACTAGGTCCTCTAGGTCTGCTAGGCATGAAAAGAGCGCAAACCGAACATACGGGCCTGCCAAAGGAAGGCAAGGAGAAAGAAGAAGACCCTTACATGGGCGGAAAGTCTTCATGCAGTTCCTGTCATGGCCATGATTTGCTCCCTGGCATCCCTGGGGGCCGGTGCGGCAGGATGGGCAGCACGTCCACGATGGGAGCGAAAATCACGAACTCTTCCGGCAGCCGCGCGTGTGCTGCCTGGCATAGAACCAGTAGCTTCTCAAGTTTCTGAAGTCTCTGCACCATATACATACATACATAAGATCATATACATTATATATATATATGTATGTGTATATATATATATATACACACATGTATGTATGTATACAACCACAACATGTGTGCGTGTTCGTATATATATATATATGATGTTATATAGAATAAACATGTAAAACTATGTATGTATATATGTACCTACATTTTCAGATACCTATCTATACATACATATATATATATATATATATACGTGTATGTGTATGTTTACCCCGAGCTGCAATAAGAGGCTTCAACATACTTCAGCTTCGCACCTCGGGGATCGAGGCCACGCCCGCTGCAACCAGGGCAGCATCGGTGCCACGGAGCGCAGTCTCCTGGAGTGCCGTTTACGCCGGTTTTCCGGTGCCTTCTTGAGTAGTACGACCATTATGGATATGAACTTGATGATTACTATTCCTTTGATTGTTATTAAAGTGTTATTCGTAAACTTAGAATGTTTAGTATGGTGATTGTCTTGATTTATCATAACATGCTCACCTATGACTATTACTGCTAAGATCAGAACCGAGGCGCCTTTGGGGCGGCGGGGGTCACGAAGGTTGTGGAGAGCAGGAAGGCGCTGCCCAGGAGGGCCTCCGGCGGCACGAAACCAAGGTCCAAACTACAGGGTTTAGGGTTTGATGTAGGAACCTGATTAAGAAATCCTGGCTCTTTTTTATTAGAGTTCATAATGTGAACCCATATATATTGGGGCTCTAGGGCCAGGGCTTCTTAATCAGGTTCCTACATTAGGAACACGCGATGTCTTTTTGAGCTCCATGCGGCCACCACCAGGAGAGAGCTCGACCTAGCCACATCTGCAACTCAGGGCATCCACAGGGACAGTGCGCTTATCGACCTTCGAACTGCCATGGCTTTGAGGTCGGATACTTCGACGCCTGCTTCTGCTTTGCTTTGAGCCGGCAGTTGCTAGATTGATGCAGACTGCACGTTCAGTGACGTTTTACGGCAAGGAGCGTCGGAGAGCTGGGATCTCAAACACGCTTTTCTGAGAGCGGCATTCAACACGAGGGTGGAATGCACATCAGGTCTCAGACGAACGTCATGGACCCGCGCCCCAAATCGCAGGATCCAGACGGCCCCAGCTGAACTTCCGAGACGTGCCAGGGCACTCAGAGTCACTCAGAGTCCATATACCATCCTCACGTTTGAATCGCTTTCAACGGATGCTCTGACAAGCCAACGTAGCTAGTCTTGCAGCTCTGCTGAGCAGCACGCACGATCCACTGGCGCTTGCTGACGTATCCTGAACACCTAATCTTCAAACTTGAATCATTCATGCCAAGTGATGCCAAGTCTCCCGTCACAGATCATGACCTTGTTCAGGCAGTCCAGGCTCGCCAAGCTCTCTTCGATGTCTCTCACGTCAATCTGAAAGCTTTTTGCCAAGTCTTGGAGCAGGTCAGCCTTTCGCATTTGTAGCCCGTGTCGTATCAGGTGCTTGCTCACCGCCGCCTGCAGCTCTCGAGAGTCGGCTCGGGAGCTGTGAAACCTTTTCTCTTTCGGAGGCGTCGACGGGGCACTCCCGCCGCGGCCGCGTTCGACTGCGAGGCAGCCCCTCTTCTTGGCCTCCTTCGGCGGTGTTGACGGCGCTGCTAGGCAGGTGGCGGGCCTCCTCCTTGGTGGAGTCTGGTCACCGCCGACATGCAGCGGCACTTGCGGCGCTTCCCGCACCACACGTGGCTTGGGCGGCTCGCTGGCCCAGCGGCGCAGCTTGCTGCGCAAGGCGGCCATGGCACGCTCCGCCCCGAGCAAGGCGTCCAAGAGGAGCTGGCTTTGCGACGACGAAGGCGTCTCCTTGGCGCAGCGGAGCAAGGCTTCCTGTGCTCCCGCAATGGCCGGGTCGGTGGAGCCAGGAAGGGCTCTCAGACGCTGCAGGAAGGCATCGCCAAGCTCCACAGACTCGCAAGGCTCGCAAGGCTTCAAGGCCGAGGCCGGGAGCCCCGGAACACGCCGGAAGGGCTCTGGCCGCTCATCCAAGCACAGGGCGATGACCTCCGGGCTGTCGGAAGTCTCCCGAAAGACTGCATACACCATCCCCGAATGCAAGCATGCAAGTGCTAAGCCAAGCAAGGAGCCGTCACTCCGCCGTCATTGATGGCAGAGATCAGAGCCGGAACTGCGGTGCTGCAGCGCTGGATATCCACCTTGACCTCACGTGACTCAGCCGAAAGCCCTGTTTCACCAGCTCGGACCCCCTTTGCTATATGGGGGTTTCCGAAAATAGGGGACCCTAATATAGTACCCTGAATAGTAGGATCCATCTTATAAGGACCCCAGAATGAGGTACCCCTTATTTTCGGAAACTCCCACATCGCTGTCTTGGTCATGGAACAACGGAAAACTGTGCCCAAGTCTGAAGTCCAGGACGCCCAGCTTCCAATTTCTCCCGCACCATCGACCGCCATGTGCAGAACGCGGGTACTATAGGGGCCTTAATAATTCGAATAGGGTTTTGGGGTATACTACGACTATAATATCTGACAGCACTGCTTGTTAGGTCTCGATTGCACCTCAATTTTACCGAGTCTGCCTGTTCAGGGATGCCCGCGTCGGGCCCCACGCCATTGCGCCTGCTTCGGTTGTTCCCCTACACTCAGTTAGGCACGCTGCCTCCAAATCTTAACACAAGCAACACAGCACACCCACGCTGTTTGGATGGCTCAACCCAACATGGACGCTGTCATCAATTTAGATCTCCACCTCTCGCTTTCCCCACACTTCCCGAACTTCAGCTAGGCAGACACACAAGCTTTTTGCACACGCACACACACACACAATCGAATCACGGGATCTGTCGTTCTCGCCGCCGCGCCAGAGCTCGCCATGCATCAAAGCAGGTCGCGAGGATCGTGGAATTTCGCAAGTCGGCTTCGGCTTAAGATCCCACATTCCAGAAGCTCTTCTTCGAGAAAGCGTGGACATCCGCAAAGTCGTCGGGACCAGCTCAGGTCTGCGATCAGAGCCACATGCGGCTCAGTCATCCAGGATCTCCACCTCTGCATCTGCATCTGCAACCACGACGGGAACCTTTGTTTCCCATTGCACGTAGCATCGGACTACGTTTCTCAGCCATTGACGGCTTTTTGGCTCAACATCGTGTCATTCAGCCAGGTCGCTGGTGAGCGCGAGCGATCTCGCTTCTCTTTCGCAACAGGACGAAGTGGGCCATCCTGCAACAAGGTCAGGCCGAAAACTTCCAAGACTAAACATCAAGCGAAAGCTGCAGGCGCGCAGGCCCGTCGACGGCCCATGGACCCCCATGCCACGCTGTGCCCCTTTGCCGACCCAGCCACCGTTCTCCGAAGCTTCACCTCCGGCCCCGCCCCCCCCCCCCAACCCCCAGAGGCCTGTCGGGAACCAGCTTTTCATGGCGAATCTTCAACACCACATAACGGCATAGTGCTTAACTGCGCCGCCTTGGCTAGCACCTGCGCGTGGGAAAGGCCCTTCCTTAGCAGCGCCAAGTCTGGGGCAAGGGATCTTGTGAAAAACTCAGATATAAGCGTGCGACCAAGTCTTTCCGTCCGTGAAAAGGATCTTCACCTTCATGGCCAATTAATTTGCGGAAGTGATGCGCCAGCACTCCAGGGCCTTGTCGGGCGTAACTTGCTTCACCATCACCTGAAAGTCATCGAGATTGCGTAGGCTCCCATGAGAACGCTTGCGCTGCCTTCATCTCTCTGCCTTGGTCCAGTAGGCCGTGTGCTGATCTAGGTGCTCTCGTGTCAGCTGCCTTGCATTCTAGACTTTCTGCCAAGATTCCAGAGGATGATCGGTACAGCACCACCGCATCGTCCTTGATCCATACCTAGCCAGTACAAGTTTCGCCGCCTGGGCTTGGGCTCTTCTTTCGAGATTGAAACCATGCAAGCAAGGTGCCGGCAAGCCGTACTTGCCCTTCGCCTGTGGCTTCGAGGAAGCTGGCGCTGGGACTTTGGCAGCCTGCACGGCAGCCCCTGAACCCCGAAACGCAAACCCCAAAATGGTCCGAGATCCCAATCAAACCCCCAATCTTCAAGCCAAAACCTATAAACATCAAACCCTGCACCCTGAACTCTCAAGCGCAGGCCCAAAGCTTGAGCATCAATTCCCGAACCTGCCCAACATCTTCAAGAATATCTGCCGCCACAAAAAAGGACCCCAAGCAATAAACCACTAAAACTCCTTTAAAAGCCCCTAAAACCCTGAACCCATGAAAACAAAATCCGAAAAGCCGCTTGGAAACCCCTGCAAAACACCCTTAAACCCTAAACCCTAAACCCTAAACCCTCCTGAAGAAGGGCACCTCCTTTGCCGCCGAAGCCGCCGAGGCCGCAGCCGCTGAAAGTGCCGAGATGCCACCGCCTCCTTGCATGATTTTAGTAAAGCTTTACATGTAGATCTATATATCTTAGTATCTCTTATTGTGGTTAGATCTATGTTGTGGTATCTCTTAATATGCTCATAGATCTATAGTTTAGTATCTTTGGCTATGGTTAGATCTATACTTAGTATCTTTTACTATGGTTAGGTCTATATTTTAGTATCTTTTACTATAGTTAGATCTATATTTTAGTATCTGTCAATTTGGGAAGTTCTCGAAACTAGGGTCCCGTTTGGGTTTTTTGTATACGGGTGCCGTACTATATTGGGGACCTAACAAGGGGACCGTAATTTAGACAACTACCCATACATCTATATTTAAAGCTGGTTATGAGACCTGGTAGGTCGTTTTAGTGTAGTGTGGCTGTAGTATATTCAGAGCTCGAGGTGCAGTATGCTTTATCGTCTAGATTGAGCTACAGTAGGAGTATATCTATAGTAGGTCTATGGCTATGGTACATTTGTCGTATATTGTAGTATAATCTATCATAACCTATCTATCTGCATAGGTAGACAGATACATAGAACAGGAGGGTTTTAGGGTTTCGACTCTCGCGAGTCACACAAGAGCGCTTGGGTTCGGGAATTCGCGACTCGGGCTCGGAATTTTGGGATGAGGCCAGAAACCCCTGAAAAAATCCAAGAGAGTGAGAGATTCAATCGAACGGAAACGCCAAGAAGCTTGGCTTCACAGCAGGGGCGAAGGCTTTGGCACCCTGGCCTGCGACAAATGACTGCGTTGACTAGCACTAGTTGTACTAATCTCGCTCTCAGCATCTCGCATCCGCTGCACACCCCACCTGCAACTGGCTCTGATGCATTGCTTTTCTCTCCTTTCGCAGGAACAAACTGCTTGAACAGTCCATCCGCAACTCTCAGCAAGCCCGTCAACAGCAGCTGAGTCTGCGACCGTTTGTTCGCCCGAGATGCAATCGGTTCAGGACATCCCCGTCACCGGAACTGGGCTTGCGAGACGAGGCCTCGCAAGCAGGTATTATTGCGAACCCTGCAGCAAGTATGAGATCTGTCGGACAGTGTCCAGCCCTGGTACAGCGCAAACAAGCCGGCGCGCCTGTATGTTCAGCCATGCCATGCCATGTGCCGTACACAGCTCAAGCGGCCACGTGCGCGTAGGCGTGGAATGGTCCAGTGCGGGTCTTGCGTAGGAGAGCTGCAACAACCACAACTTGAAGCTACCTTTGGAAAGATACCGAAATGTGGGCGTGAAGACAACTATTGGATCAAGTAACAGACCGCTAACCGATTCAGAAAGCCAAGTGCCACCATACAAACGCAAGACGAATCTCTGAAGCAGAAAACTCGCAGACCAAGACTGCATATGAAGAATGTGCACACCCCTCCACCCGTGGAGCCCTTCTCCGACTTCCACATTCCAGCTCATTTCCAACCACAGCTTCTAGGCAGGTGGCTGCATCCCTTCCCCAACATAGTTTCGTAGCATGTGATCTATATATATATATACACACACACATATAGATGTGTATATATGTATAAATATATACACACAAATACATGTGTATGTGTGTGTGCTCTGCGTGTGTGTAAAAGCATATTCTATTGAAAAACGATGTGTGCCATGTTATGCATTAGCAGACACGCCATATTCGTATGCTGCATTGGATGCAGAATCAAGTCTGAGATCCCAAGTTCTTTGCGATCCGGCCAGAACCCCGCAGAACGAACAGGCTAGACTCAAAGAAGTCGAGGCCAGCGAAATCACCCTGAAACTCCTGCCACGTGTATTGAAAATGAGCTCAAAGTTAGGAAGATGCTGTTGTAGTTCAGAATCGAAATCCAACGAATGGGTGCAGGCCCTCCGCCTTCAACCTTATGCAACCTGTGCTGTGTACTTCGAGTTTCCTGCAGACATGGGAAGTTCGTTAACTCGTTGGCGCATGTCTCCCTTTGGAGCAGGCCTGTTGCTGATAACTATATTGCGGTAATGCCAAAAGTATATACAGAGAATCCTCAACATAGAGAGAGAGAGAGAGATGCTACGCAAGGAGCCTCCGGCCCTCCATAGCTCTCGAATGTAAATTGGGAGCAGATGCAGATGTCACGTTCTTCGGGAGAATAAGTGGCAACAGAACATCAGGTGCCCGAGACGGGCTGTTGCTTGCAGCAGGCGCAGTCTGGAAGCTTGACGCAGCCTTTGGCTTCTTCCTTCGTTTCGGGCTTCCGCCCGGCGAGATCAGAGAATATCCGACCGGCCCCTCCGACAGCAACTGCTGCAGTATCACCAGAGGGCTCCTCTCCACCACGCTTAGCACCGATGCTTCGCAGGCTTCGGGGGCGCCCTCTAGAATGCGCCGGCGTTCCTCCAGACTTCTTTTTCTCAGTTCTTCCAGGCGCTCTATGCGCTTGAAGGCATCTTGGTAGAGAATTTCGAAACGAGAGGGGCATGCCAAAAGACGCTCCAGGCCAACATTGTTGGCAATCTTGCTGACCTCTTCGCCGATGCCTCGTTGAGAGCAGTTGCCCATCAAATGACGAAGCTTCGCCTGAAGCTCCTGCGTCTCAATTGGAAAAAGGGTCTCGGGGTAGATTCTACTAGAATTATTATAACAAGGAACCCCAAGGCATAACACAACTGATTATTTAGACCTTCGTATCATGCTTGGTCTATCTCCGCTGACCCTGTTACAAGAAGAAACAAGGTTCAAGCCCAGACCTTGAAGGGCAGCTCCCCTTGATGTATACTCTACTACATTGCTGTATACTGTATATTAATAATAGTCGCTCTAATCTCCTCAAGGCAAACCTTCAGCCTCTTGTTCTCTGCGTCCAAGAGCTCCAACTTTTTCCGGGTTTTTGTGAGCTCTGCCACGTCCTGCCCGGCTGGCGGCCCAGACGAGGCTGCCTTGGGAGAAAACCTCTTTGAAAGCACGGAAGCCCCTGATTCGGAATGGGGCGACTCAGGTAATCTTGCTAGTGGCTTTGGTCCCAAGCTCTTGAGTGACGCAGCTGTGGGAGTGGGTGCCTCTGCTATCTCCAGCTTGGCACTCCCAGTGGGTGATGTCAGTGGCTTTGGGGGCTTAAAGTGGCCGCGACCCACCGCAGCCGTGGGAGAGCCCGAGGCGTCCGGAGGCGGAGACATCGACGCGGTGACTATGGACTTTTTGCCGCTGGCGGATACCAGCACCGAATCTTGCAAAGCCACGACTGCTTTCTCCGCATCTGCGTGCCTCTCGTAAGTACACAGAATACTCGGTTGTCGTCGGCCCCCTTCGCTACTCTCAGAAGCGTCTTCGATCTGCACGGCCACAAGCGACTCTGCTTCAAGGCCAGATTCGCTATGCCATTTCAGAATACAGTCATTTGTACAATCCTCCGGAACTCCATCGTAGCGCACTTCGATACCCTGGGGGGCAGATGCCGAGGCTCCACTGACTCCCCGTTCCAATCCCAACTCGGACAGCACGAAGTTCGCTTCCTCTGGCTCCAGGCCCAGATCCTTCAGCTTATCCATACCCGCCTAAGCAGGGGGCGGACATCGGACCCCAGAGTCGCACTACTTTTCTATTACTTTTTATATTATTTTATATATTCTGGTTCAGGCTTCCCTGAACCAGACCTTCAGGCCTCGAGCTGCTCGAGCTGCTTTTGACGCTCCGCCAGCTGCCCTTTCAGGCTAAAGACCTCCCTCCTGGACCTGTCCAGCTCCTGCTGAAGGCTCCGGGCATGATTCCGATCCTCCTCCGCCTGGCGAAGGGCGGCGTTGGCCGCGGCCTCCGGGCGGAGGGTCCCCAAAAAAAGCTGATGAGACGGAGGGGCCCTCATGGCAGCACCATGCTGAACATTTCTGAATGGGGCGGCCTTGGAACGTCGCAGGGCCTCAGGCCAAACACAGGCTGAAAGAACACGAACACACTGAGACCAAGCGCAAGTCAGCCGCAAGACACTGTGCCCGCCACCGTTTCGAGATCTACATCGTCCTGGTCGGCTCGGCTTCTGTCATATCATATCTCATTCTCATCGTCGCGCATTTTTGGAGAGTCTCCATGCCGTGTTCCCGACTCCTCCCTCAGTGCGAAAACACCCAGAAGGTCTTTTTTGCACCTGCCCGTCCCCGTCCTCCAGGAGCTCATCGCTGGCCTTGGGAGATGCCTTGTCCATAAGCTTCGCGGGATCCTGGGCGAGGAAGGATCCGCAGACATCTCCAAGGAAGCTTCGGTTTGGGACCACGGCCAAGCCCATCGACTGCTTCAGCTCTTCCACGAAGGATGAAGACGCTGAGCCGTCGAGGATCCGAAGAAGCTTGTCCTCTTCAGAATGATTCAGAATGAGAGGATAAATGCAGAAACCTTATAGTAACCCTTGCAGTAAACCCCATAGCAACTCCCATAGAAAACCCTGTAGTAACCCTCATAATGGGGGTTTCGTAGATGACCCACCAAACTAACCCCTACGGCAACCCTTCCCGAAGAGCGTGCCTTGACGATCATCAAAACCAGCAGCCGCTGATCCTCGCTCAGGTGCCTCATAGGCTCCTGTCACGACTCCCCTTTTATAACGGGTGCTACAAACATGATACTACGGTGTAGGGTTTGGGCTGAGCGCCTTAGTACTCCCTAACTTTTCGGAAAGAATTGGCCAAGGGTCGAAGAAGGTGACATGATCGTCTTCAAGAGGCGTTCCTGTCCCTCCCTTCACCTGGGCGACGAGTCTACTGCCACAGCCCAAGAAACACCGGCACTTGACAGCTAAGTCGCCCGATCCAACTGCTTCATGGCCTGTCTAAGCGGCCACAGAAGAAAGTCAGAAGTCGCCAGGCACTTGGGGCCCGGGCGCCAAGATTACATCGGGCCAACTTCATCTCAAAATCCTGTTCACAGCGTGACGCTTCACACGTTTGCTTCCCTGCTGGCCTCGCACGCCAACACTAAAGCGCTCGGAAAAGTGCCATGCCACCTACACGCATACATACATACATATAGATAGATAGATAGATAGATAGATAGATAGACAGACAGATAGATAGATAGACAGATAGATAGATAGATAGATAGATAGATACATATATACATACATACATACATACATACATACATACATACGTACATACATACATACGTACATACATACGTACATACGTACATACGTACATACGTACATACGTACATACAAACAAACATACATACCAAGATACGCACATACATACCGTACACTCTTTCGCTTGTTAACTCATTCATTCATTCGTCCCTCCGTCTATTCATGAATACAGCTAGCCCCGCCTATTTGTACAGCGCCCACCCGGCCGATCTCTGACGAAGCCTAAATCCCATCAAGGGAGCTACAGATGCACAATCCGGTCCTGTCGAGCAGCCTTCAGTTCGAGCTGAACCCGTCGCAAGCTGGCGGACAGCACATCTTGTCCTGGTGACATCCCAGTGCAGAAAACCACGTTAGCAAATATCACTCGGTATGCTGTTCCCCATCATGGCTGAGCTCAATGCCTCTGGACGTCAGTGTTGTCAAACAGAGCTGGCAGAATTGTCGCGTGAAGGTCTGCATGTCCTGGTATGCTCGTGTCAAAAAAACGGAGAGCAGTAGAGAGGAGAGCTCAGGGGAGCTCACGGATACACGAAGTAAACCGACCAGGGGCTTCAGCTTCTGGAATCGGTGGGAACCGCAGAATCCCAGATCCTGCCCTGCTCTTCGCACGAAAGAGACCCCAAACTACAGTACTCGACCCGACACGACTGAAAGCTGCGCTTCGGAATCAGCCTCACTCAAGAGCCACTCGGCTTAGAGAAGGACAGGGCCGGACAACTTCGGTGTGCGACGACCCTGGCGGTGCCTGTGAAGGTACCTTGAACTTGCGTCGGTGATGCGCCAATAGCTGCACCACGTTCCAGTCCTCTTCCATTTTCTTCCTCAGCTTGGCGCACCTACGGCATGCTGCGGCCTGCCCTCCGACACCGAGCAGCCTTGTAATGCCAACAGAGGCCACGTCAAGCTGTGCATTGCTACGTTGGGCCACGAAGTCACAAAGGGCAGCAGGGAAAGGAGGGGAAGGAAGCGAAGAGAGGGAGGCCTAGGGCCTAAGGGAGGGAGGGAGCTGAACGAAAGACACCACAAGTTCACGCACATCCACACAGTCCCAGGCTGGAAGAGAAGTAGCTCTCGGACCAGAAGAGGCGAACTCAAGATGCTACAAGCCAGTATTTAGCCATTGAGCCACAGAAACAAACTGTAATCTGCCAAGCCTCAAAATGTCATCCAAACAATGATCGAGAGAGCGGGAGCTTGAAGAGATTGAGGCGCGCCGAGCTGACGGAGCCATTCCTTGGGAAGCTCCGCCAGAAGCTTGCGGCCCATGCCGCATGTCATCGGCCAGCCATTGAGCCTCAAGGCTCGGTGAGTCTAGAAATCCTGGAAGCTCAACTGCGGGATTCCACAAACAAGGCACACAAAGAGCGGAGCAATTTTTACACGGCCGCGCGCATGTGAAATCGCGCTGGTCTTTGCTCCAGTTGGCGGAGTTCCGCCTCTTTAACTCCTAACTTCCTGCCTGAAACACCGAAAGCCTTTGTAGCCCTGCGCTGAAGTTTGTATTGCTGAGTGGAGTTCAGGCTCTCTACTGTGTAAGTTTACACCTGAGGCGTCTCACGCCACTTGTCCTGTAGGAAACATGTTTCCAAGCAGAGGGATACATCTGCAACAAATCTCTTGGAGATAGTACATGGACATGGCCAAAGCTATCCACATCCGGTCCTTCCGTAGTAGCTGCAGAAAAAATGCCTTGCGTTTATCAGCACGGCACCAAGCACCGCGAATGACAAATGATAGACTGTGTGCAAGACCACTTCGTTCATCGGCCACTTGCCACTGGTATCCTTAAATGAGGCCTGCCAGGTGCATCAATGAATGCTGATGAAGCCTTCTTGCTGCTCCATTTCCGACTGGTCTCACCTTTCTGCGCACTTGCGATGATCTGGATGATGGCAGATCCAACCTTGAAGCTTAAGATCTATCAACCGCTTTCGTGTCAGGTCCTATGCCTCAGGCACCAACGACAACAAACAGAAAGACTGCCAGCACAACTGGGCCGACAGTGAACGGCGACCTTAGCCGCTGCGTTGTTTCAACTCACAATTCCCAGATCCCCCTTATAAGCTTCTCATTATGATTCTTCGCCACTCATCAGCATCATTCCTCCGGCAATGCAGTGCCTGGGGCCGGAGCTCTTCCTTTTTCTTGCCGGAGTTACCTGCTTTCTCACTGCTGCGCAGGGTAAGGTCTGTGTCAGGTTTCAGTCAAGAGACTGGGCCCTCCTTTTCCGATGTTCTTCTCGTACTGGGCCTTGTCCGAGCCATGCCGGCAGCGGCGCTTCGATCATGAAAAGGGCAAGTGCTGAATCAAAATGATGGCTCAATCGACACCGAGGGACAGATTTCAGCGCAGTTTTTCGAGAAGTCGGCATGGCCTGAGCATGAAGCTTTGCATTTGAGGAGATGCCGACACTAACATGCACCGACTTGCCTCCGGTACAGCAGCGGTAGGCACGAACGTCAACGTGGAACCCTTGAGCCAAAGAGGCGTTGGCAAAACTGGCTACCAACGGAAGCTGAAGTATTGAGCCCGAATCCTACAAAGCTCACGTGGAGTCGCTGTCTCTCGCTTTTTCGCTCGGGTGCCCGGTGGTGGGGCGAAGTGCAACTCACGTGGCTCAAAGGCTTCCGTGTCCAAGACGGTTTGGCTTGAGCCGCGTTTCTGTTGCACGAATCTGCAATGCAAATTATTATGGGATAGTGAGCAGTCTCTGCCGAAAAATCCTCCAGATGAAACATATTCAACTCTTGTCAACATCTCCCAGCGCACGCAAAATCAAGCAAATGTCGTTGCTACGTTATAGCACTCTCGTTGACTCCCTCATCAGAGTCATCACATTGAAGCGCTTCAGAATGTGATGGAGAAACACGGTAGGTATGTGAGAGCGCGAGCACGCATCCGCCAGCGGCATCAATCCATGCTTCTGATGCTTCGAACTCAGCTTCAACTCTGTCTAGCACGGCGACTACATCTTGGTGGAACTGTTTGATCATATAGGGACACCAGTTGAGGCTTTGGTGCTGGCAGGCCGATTGAAATCACGACACGGTGGCAGTCACTTTCATACCGAGGATCTCGCCGATCTGCTGAAAAAGTCCCTCCATTTACAAGTGTTGTGCTGGCAAGAAGGACTAAGCCTAGCAACGCTGTGACACAGATTTGTACCCACGTGCGCCCCTCTTGTGTTCATGCCTTGTTGATAAAGAACTCCTGGAAGATCAACACGAAGAAGAAAATCATGGCGATCTTAGCCCGTGTATATCACAACAGCACAAAATCCTATTGCTGGAAAGATTTGACCGAGGGCCCAAGCTCGGCCATTCAACTGCTCTGCGAAGGGAACGAAGCCGTACATGTAGCTGGCTCGTTCAGGCTCCTGACGTGCAAAACACGTGAGATAAAAAAAGGAGCTTGCATTGGGGATCACGATTGCAGGGGCAGCCAGCGAATCGAGCTTGCCCAAAACGCCTGAGCATGCAGGTCTGGAACTGTCAGTCCTCATCAGGTTGGATCAAGTCCGATTCTTTCATAGGAACATCCAGCTGAACAGCTGCCTGTCGCATTAAGCTCAACAGCCCGACTCTCCGCCCGATATGCTCAAATAACAAATCCGCAGCTGCGCACCCTGGACACTGCAGGGTCTGATCCTCGGATGCCTCACACTCCGGCAAACACAGGTCCGGAAGGAATCCGCGAATTGCGAGAGGGGTCACTCTGGCCTCTGGAGCTTCCCGCGTGCGGGGCCACAAAGCATACAAACCTGGGGGGCAAAAGCCGAAATCGGAAGTTTCAGTGTAAGTGACTTTGGACACTTCCCACGCTTCTCGAACGCAGCCAAATCAGCATCCGTCGAACCGTCTGTTGAGTCGGAATGCATGATCTGCTCGCTGCACGAGTCTGAGGTGTCGACGGCCTTGCCACTCCAAGATACACAGCAACTGCCAACAAGGTTGGCAAAATCAATCGCAAAGGCCTCAGTGCAAAGAAGCTCCGGACAAAGGCTCGATCACTCCATGATGCAAGCTGCTTCGCCTTGACATCGGTACTGGCACCTCGGGATGCCAAGTCTGCCATCCGCAATCCGACGACATCTGATGCACAATGCCCGGCCATCATTTTGAGGCCGCTGCCCCGAGCCCGCAATTGCACTCTGAAAAACTACAGTGGCGCTGCCACGAAATGGCGACCCAGCCGGAACTCTCCAGTCATGCTCAATAACTCACCCTTCGAACTTTTCTGCCACAACTCAAGAGCAATTTTTTGGACGTCCTGCCCCCCCCCCCCCACCCCCACCCCCCCAACGTCAAATGTTTTGGTTGATTCGACAAACCCAAGCGGAAGCTCAGTACAGCTTCGCCAGGCATGCACATTTGGCTCACTCCTCATGCCTTTCTAGCACAATACGCATGTTGATCTGAGCTCGAGCATATCCTCTTTGGCAAGCGCCAAACATCCGCCTACTTTCAGGCTGTCAGCTCAGCCTCCTGTACAAGTCCAGCAACAGCCTTATGAATCCATGGCGAGCTGGAAAAGCTTTGTAGTCATGGCTCGACAGATTAAACAGTTTTTGCCGCAGCAGTCGTTCGCCATTTCATGCCGTACATTGGGATGCGAACTGTGCGACTGCAGCGGCATCTTAATCTACACGTCCATTGCTGCGGCAATGAAGACCCAAATGCTCAGCACCTGAGCTTTTCGTGGGTGCTGATTGAAACCTGCACATCTCCTGAGATACCAGCCCCTGCGGCATAAGGAAAGATCCTGACCTCCAAGGCAGGGCCAAAGTTTAGCTGCGTAGCCGTACCTTGCAAGGGGTCAAGCCCCTCCCTTTCCGGCCTTGAGCGCATAGTCGGCCTGGTCTCCACCCAGCTCCAAGATGCGAGACTGGTAGATGGCATCCCAGATGAGGCTGTTCAAGAGGGATCATCGCAGTCAAACGGACGGTTTCAAGATCTCGTGTTTTTGCAAAGAGAGCTCGAGAGCCTGTAGTCTTTGTACGGCTCATTGAAGGGCAGGCCGAAAACACTACGCCTGCAGCAGGCAGCCCAAAGCTTCACTTTGCCCTAGCAGCTCTCCCCGCATCCCTCTTTAACATCGAACTGGGGGTCTCACCCAGGCCGTCCCATCCTCCTGAAATCGTTCTCGATTTCGTGCATTTGCGCGTCGATGGCCTGCAGATCCACGAGATGGTGCAAGCCAGGATTGGACGGGCTTCACGGAACTTCACGGCATCTGGCCTCAAGCGTGACCGGTGGCGTCGCATGCGACCTCCCAGAGCAACCACAATGAAGCCATCTTTCGAGGTCACTCGATGCGGTGGCGCACTTCAGGGGAAAGCCCGACTCGTGACCACTTCGGCGGGCACCTCTCAAAGACGCGAGGCTTTGAACGAGCGCACGAGACAAAGTACCTAAACACCCCTTTTCTTGCATCAGGGCTTGTACCCTAAACCCTAAACCCTGAGACCCTAAGCCCTGCGAAGCTGAGAGTGCAGACTGTTTGCCAGGGTCTCCAACCCTTCCAGGAGCTGGCCCAGCCTGCTTCTTGTCAAAGAGCGCAAGTACAGGCGATACACTGTAGGTAGGTAGGTAGGTAGGTAGGTAGGTAGGTAGGTAGGTAGGTAGGTAGGTAGGTAGGTAGGTAGGTAGGTAGGTAGGTAGGCAGGCAGGTCAGGTAGGCAGGTATGCAGGTAGGCAGGTAGGCAGGTAGGCATGTAGGCAGGTAGGCAGGTAGGCAGGTAGGTAGGTAGGTAGGTAGGTAGGTAGGTAGGCAGGTCGGTAGGTAGGGAGGGAGGGAGGGAGGGAGGGAGGGAGGGAGGGAGTCGGTCTTGGGTCGGTCGGTCGGTCGGTCGGTGCTAGGTAGGTAGGTAGGTAGGTAGGTAGGTAGGTAGGTAGGTAGGTAGGTAGGTAGGTAGGTAGGTAGGTAGGTAAGCGGTAGCTAGGTCGGTAGGTAGGTCGGTAGGTAGGTAGGCAGGTAGGTGGG